AAATTAACTTTCTATCCCACTCACTCATTAAAGGTGGTAAGAATTCATTAACAAAAATGCCTCACAAGTGGATTTGAAAGATGCTCAAAATGCCAGGAAATAAGTAAAATTTATTTTGAGCTCTTAGCTTTTGTTCCCATTGGCCTTTTTGTAACAGCCTTCATTCAATTTGTTTTGTAGCAAAAGTGCTCTTTTATCCATTAGGAATAAAATTAACAGCAGCACAGACTGCAGAGACATCTTGTTCAAAAACGAGACATGGCATGAGCTCTATTAGTACTTTGCCGGCAGCGAAGTTTACCCAGCGAAGTCTCTGTGGCGCAATCGGTTAGCGCGTTCGGCTGTTAACCGAAAGGTTGGTGGTTCGAGCCCACCCAGGGACGCCTACAACTTTTTTCTTATTTGCTTTCAAGTACAGTAATTAAACATACCTTACTCGGAGCTTCGTATCTGTGCAAAGTGATTGGCATTTCAGGGAGGAAGCACCTCCTATACTTTTCAAGGTTTTAGCGAGAGGTGCATGTAAACAAAGGAGTATTTGAGAAGAGTTATGAGCCTTCTCTTTTTATTTCGATGTCTTCTTTTGCAAGGTTACGGAAATATGCTCCGAATAGGAACAACATAACTTGCACGTCGCCAATAGGACGGATAAAACAACGGATGGCAGGCAGACAAGACTAGGCGTTAGTCCGATGGGCTACACAACAGTGTGTGTTAAAAACTTTGGCAGAGAAATCTTTCAGGACAGAGTGATTTTAGTGGCCAATGCTATCTCCACTGCAAGAAATGTAGTATTCTCTCCCAGCAAATCTCCCAACATTTCGTAAGACGCTCTTGCCTTGCAGGAGATGCATATTGGGAACTTTGAAAGGGGTGTTACACTTTCCCAGCATCTGCTTTAAGTAGACAATGAGAAAGACTAGGGGCACGGAGCGTTTCCGTAGTGTAGTGGTTATCACGTTCGCCTAACACGCGAAAGGTCCCCGGTTCGAAACCGGGCGGAAACACGCTTTTGGTTTTCCTTCCAAAAATGTAAAAATGAATACAGTATTATTCATGGATTAACAGGAACGTGTATGTCAGAAATTGACTTGGGCATGTGTTGTTTTTTAGCAAATTATCTGGAATGCTAATTTTGAAGGGGATGAGCCCTCACCAAATCGCAGCCGACAGTTATACCCTTTGCAATTAAATAATTCCACCATTCTGTGTGTGATTTATAGTACAAGATCAAATTGGAACACTTTTCTCAGTATCCTAAATGCGTTTATAGATTTGCTTTCCTATATTAATGTACCTTTGGCTTATTATCATTCATTCCAGGCATAGGGGACACCGAAGATCTGATAGTAGGAGAAACTGTTGGAAAGCTATGATATTAGTTTGGCAACTCCGCAGTGCAAAGAGCAAAGTTGTAGAAACTTGATAACCATTTATTCTATTTTTAATGCATAGTAAGAGATTTTATTTATTCACAGGGCTGAATAAATAAATATTTAAAAAGTTACTTTGTTGCTGTTGTTTAGTCATTAAGTCATGTCCGACTCTTCGTGAACCCATGGACCAGAGCATGCCAGGCCCTCCTGTCTTCCACTGCCTCCCGGAGTTGAGTCAAATTCATGTTGGTCACTTCAGTGACACTGTCCATCCATCTCGTCCCCTGTCACCCCCTTCTTCTCCTGTCTATTTGCTTAAGTATGTAAAAAAAAATTATCAAGGGACTACCATCAAGTGTTCATTCCTGCCCACACATTAAGATCCTTCTCAGGGACCCATGACAAGCATCACATGCTAAGATAGGTGAGCTCAACATGCAATATATATATATATATATACCCTTCTCTGTGTTGTGTCACAACTCCAACTGTGTTGATGTGCGATGTGAACCTTGTCAAGGTGAGGCTTGAAGGCCTCCTCCTTCAATTTGATATTTATGTTGTGTCTTGCCTTTATTTTAGCTTTTACATTGTTTGATGACTGTGAAGACATAAATACCAAAAAACTAAATCCCATTATCTGAATCAGGTCCTTCTGACCACCGAGTGTCCTGTGGCATCTTGAACTAGATTTCACAAACACTTTTGCCTACTGCAAAACTCCACTGCACACATCATCACAAGCATCTGGTTCTCAAGGACTGCCAAAGCCAGACAGGTCTGCCTTCGCTGCTTCCATGCGGCGTGAGCCTGTACTGCAGACTAAGTCACAGAATGAAACCAGAAGACTAGCTGTCAGCAATAGGGGCAATAATCTCCCATTCAAAGCAAACCTAAACCAAATCCAGGTGAGAGAAGGTTTGGAGAGGTTGGAACATCAAAGGCACCTGATTTCCTGCTCTTAGGGGGAGCAGCCATCCTCTCCTGAGCAGTGATGAGATCAAATGCTCTCGGGTAGCAGTAATGTCCCCAAAAGCAAGCTGCTGGCAACCCTATGATGATCCCAGGGGAGTGGGGTTACTTGTCTGCCACATCAAAGAGTTTGAGATGTACTGTCACGGGGTATTCAGGGAAGCTTTTCTTTACCAGCCTTCTGCGTCTTCTCTTCCCCCTCCATCTCATTATCTGCACTTCTCTTTTCTCTGTTTTTGGTCCAGTGACCATTTAACAGACACCCCCTTACAGGATTATTTTTTGCTTTTGATGAGAAACTGGAAATATATAGTGTCTGGGATTCTGGGTCTGAATATATCTTAAAAAGCTTAAGATGCGTCAGTCCCAACCTGTTCAACAGATATTAGGATACAGCTTATGTCAGAGGTACTCACACACCCCTAGCAAATAACTAGAAGGGAGATCAAGATTCAGAAGCTTTATGGCATGAAGTGAAAGCAAACCAGCCAGCTCTTTCACTACATTGTGTTGCCTACTGGTCCTTCACCTTGACCTATCTACCAGTTTTAAGAAAATGGACTAGACAACCGTGTCCACTGCCCAGTATACTACCTACTCTCTTGGGCAATGATGAGTTTTAGTAGCAGCAATGTTACTTGGGTTTCATTTTAGTTTAATCAAGGAATCCTTTTTCTTGTTCCCATCCTTCAAGCAAGTAGGCTCTAGCATTCTACATCAGTGTGTCAGTCACTGTCAAGATGAAACACCCCCCCAAACATTTGATTATCTTACTTGTAATGCTCCTTCATGGATTGCTGCCTTGTCGTGGCGAAGGGGCTTGAGTAACTCACAGGTTGTTTGATGAATTAGCTAACTTTGCATACTATGTTCAGCTGAGCTCAAAAAAGACCTGTACGTGAACCAAGCGATGGAATTTTCAAACCTCCACGGTACCCGATTGACTGAAACCAACCTGGCTTATACAGGTTCTGATCCTGATTCAGCCTGTATTTCTTTCATATTGTGTTTATGGCCGTGGCCAAAACAGAGAACGGCTGACTGCAATTTGCTGCCAAAAATATTAGCATTGCTTTGTTTATTTCATGCTGCTGCTCCATGCATGCTTGTGTGCATGCTTTTGCTGTGTACTTGCTCAACATGGTGTTCTTCATTTCAGCATTCATCTGTCTCGAGGTCTTACTCTGCTATTGGTATGTATAGTTTAGTACAATTAGCGTCATTTTTACCCATTGTATATATCTCAAAACCTGTTCTGTGTATTTTTATTCATTGTTTTATTATGGACTTTTTCTTCCTTTTAATAAGATTTCCTCATGAGTTTGGTGCATGCTTAGCTGGGCCCTGATCGAATGCCTGTAGCTTGACCACTTGGGATATCTGTGCAAGACACTGAAAGGTTGAGGAACTTGCATTTACAGTAGGACCCCCGTATCTGCAGGGGATAGGTTCCTAATCTCCTCACAGATGCATGAAACTGCAAATAGTATCAACTCCAGTAAAGAGAGTAAGAGGGAGGAGGAAGGGTGCATGCACACTGCACTGTACTTGTGTGCAATGCAGGCTGGGTTTCAGTGAAGAGTGAGAGGTGGGGGAAGAGCAAGAGAAGTGTGTGTGCACACTGCAGGCTGGGCTTCAGCCTACTGTATTCCTTAGTGGGCTCTGAAATCATGAGAGTGGTAGCATTTACTACCTTCCAGAGTTGGAGTTCTAAGTTTACTCTTTTATCCACAAGGCTGCAGATTCAAATGTTTGGGTCCACAGTAAGTGTTAAGACAGACCATTTACCCCTTTGATGGCTCACTGCACCTAAAAGAATCAACTGAACCACTGGATTTAGAACAGTATAAATACTTTTGAGGTCCACAGTGTTTGGTGGCAACCTTTTCCAGTGGTTCTGCATCTCTGGAGGGCTGATTCTAGAAATTCGATAGTTGGGCTTTATCACAATCTTAGCAGAACTGCATCATACTTCTGGATACTTCCCTTCAGAGGACTGAAGCTAATAGGGACTCTTCCCTGTTAATCCCATATGAAAAAGGTGTTTCTGAATGAGGTCAAAGCATTGGGAGCTAGATGTTCCTAATATGCTGATGCCCTTTGTAGCTAAGTCAAAAGATGTGCTGAGCATGTGATTGGCACAACGAGTGTATTAAATTAATATAAAAAAGAAAGAGAAACATTGAATTCTGACAAACTGAAGGTGCTACTGGTAGATGTGGTATATGTGTGCCCAGGAGGATTTTCTACAATTTTCAGCAACAGGTGACTCCACAAATCAAGAGTGCACTTTTGGCATGCTATTGAACTAATCTTTACTATTAAAAGTTCCATGCCGGTGAAAAGAGAAGGCAGTAAAAATGCTGAAACATTTGCACAATTACCAATTTAAACAAACCTAATTTTAATCATGAATAAGTTTGCAACAGAAACCTGTTTCTCTTCTAGTGTAGAAAATGAATTTAATTATTAGAATAGGGGGAAAAAGAAATGTAAGTGATTCTTTTTTGGCTGTGCCAACATGCTGAGAAGTGGCTATGCAAACAACTTAAACCAGTGCACTAGCATAAAATATGGCTTTATACGTTTTTGCTGTTACAGTATTTTCGTAGTTCAGCAGTAACATATTTAAGAGATTTTAGGTGAACAACATATAGTCATAGGTGCTTTTTATTTCTGAAGATTTTCATTTAATTCCAGAACACCAAACTTAATTAGCTCTATTTCATAAATTAATTAGCTCTATTTCATAAAAAACACAGCTTCTCCTCTCTTCCAGTTAGTAACTGTTTTAAAAGAGCAAAACAAGCTCAAGTGCAGTAAACAATAAAGAACAACTCATAAAAACAGTATCACATTTTAAATATTCAAAGTAGAACCATGTGCAAAATATCCTGAAACCCAAGTTATGCTTCAGTTTAACACCACCTAATAGAAAAAGAGTGAAATTGTTAAAACACAATTCACCAAGTTAACCAAGATTCATCAAAATGATGCATGTCATCAGTGTCAGCCCTTACAGAATTCAATACTGAATGAGGTAACAGGTCATCTAGGATGTCTTGCTTTGCAGAACTTTCAAAATCAAGTTTCTTCAGGGTTGATTTGACTGTTAAAAGGTCTGAATGACCCTCACATCCATTTTCCTTTACTGGTGAGGTATAGTTATGGTCATGAGCAACATCAGGTTTCTCATTAAGCACTGGAGATGTTGGAGTTCCATCTCCCATTTCCAAGTATCTACACTCTTCTTCTTGTGGAAGTTCCAAGGAAGCAACAGTTGGAGCAGGTGACAGTAGCTCTGACAAAATATCATCATAAGTTGAATTGCTGCACTGAGACATATTGGTGAGAGGAGAATTCACAGATTTACTATATTCAACATCAATCTGGTGGTCCAGTGCGTTTAACAAACTCTGTAGGAATTCACTTTCTTTCTGGGTTTCAGTACATGACTGGTTCTTCTTAGTTCTCTTGGAAGAACTTCTCTTTTTCACTTGAGCCTTGGCCAACTTATCTAGTGAAGCTAGTTTCTCCTTTTTAGCCTTAAGATCTTGAAGGAGTTTTAGACGCAGCTGATGTGCTTTATCAACTGCTGTCTCGCCATGGTCAAAAGATGTAGAGTTTTTACTTTCAATTTTGGAGGACTGAATTTGTTTACTAGAAGAAACCAACGAGTCTGCTCTCTTAGTTACAGTTCCTTCATTTCCATCAATGGCATGGTTTTCAATCAGGAAGTTTGCAAAAGGAGAAGTGGTAGGAGTCTTACGGGAAGAATCTAATGTTGTAACTTTCTTGGTTATAGTCCTTGACCATTTAGCTTGAAAACTACTGAACTGACTGGCATGTCTAGGAAGTGGAGTGGAGATATCTTCTTTCTGAATGGTCTTTTCAGAACTTTCTACTTCATTACAAGCTGAGACACTTTTAGGCAGGAAAGGAGGATGTTTTCCGAGTAAGCCCTTAAGCCAACTAGCTGTAGACAATTTTGCTCCTTTCTTACGGCCAAATGGAGAGGAACTACCTAGATCAGAAGCCCGAGAATCTGATGGTGTTTCTTTTACGTGCTGTACAATGTTAGGTATCTTCTGCATAGTATTTCCTGATTTTGCTTTAGAAGGTTTCTTTTGGGCATTAACCAAGTTCAAGCTGCTATCTTTACTCTGAAGCCGGTTAACTTCAAGTTGTGCTTTATGGACTGATAATGTTGCTGGTGAGTAACTGCTACTGCTTATAGGAACTGTTGGCATAACAGATGTGCTATTTGTATGGGCTGGCTGACCTTGATACAAGGGAGCATTGCTGTGTTCTAGTAATGTGCACTCATTTCCAGGAATGTCTCCTTCAGGACTACATGGAAGCACGCTAATCTGAGCCAAACCTTGTAGTTGTAGTGTGCCTATTTTAGCTGTCATGTTACTTTGCACTATATGGCTGTCTTCTAGTGGCTTACCTTCTGAGTCAAGTGGAATACTAACAAGATTTGGGTTTACAATATCATCACTGGCTAGGTTTTCCAATCCCCAAAGCAAATTACTTCTATTATTGTTAACTAAACTTTCTGCCTCGTTTGGATGTACATTTGACGTATCACTGTGGCAATTTAAAGATGTATTCTCTACAGACTTGTCATTAAAGTATTTCACTGGAGACTTTGGTGGTGTTTTTGGACTAGGAACGTTCACTGCTCTTTCATTTTGTAATTGCAAATCCTTATTGTTGGTCACCTGTGGTGGTTTTCTTTCCCAGATGACAATGTGAATTTCTGCAGGAGAAACTCCAAAGCTCTTGTGCCTTTTACAGTAGGAGCCCTTTAAGTCATCACACTCAAGCCAAGTTTCTGAAAATAAGACATTCAGAATTTTAAAAGGAGTAACTTTGTCATTATCACTAAGAAATCACTTGATTTTAGGGATCATGCACATTGTCATCACTTACGGTGGAAACCAGCTTTATAAGAGTCTGCAAAAATTAAGAATCTAGTTTTTAGCTAGCTGCCTTTCCACACATGACTATCTAAGTTTTTCATGGCCCATTACTAGTCTCAAAAGAAGAAGAAAATCTCTGCCAGTTCAGAGTAGCTTTTTTGAGTTACTACCTGGAGGCGATTTTAGTCATCACAGGACGTTGCAAAAGCGGTTATTTTACAAATTTGCTATATGCCCCCATAAAACATTGCATAATTTGTTTTCTGAAAAAGGATGATAGAAAGTAGCATTTATTTCAATTAGAACTGATTTGCATGTTTTTATTTTTCAAAGAATTGTGTGCTCAGGTACACAACAGGATGGAAAAAAAATAGGGTGAACCTGTCACTTACACAGCAATCTAAAAGGAACAGCTGAGGTATGGCTCTCTGTGGCTTACCCTGAATACACATCATACATTTATGTACAATGAAGAAGAAAAAGCAGAGCTTTTTGATGGATGGGTCTGTAGTCCACCTGAAACTCTTGTTTCGAGTTTTAGGAGAGGTAACTGCATTAGTCTGTGCAACCATATTACCATATTACAACAAAGAAGACAAAAATTCTGCGACACCTTAAAGACAAACGGTTATATTTTAATGTGAGTTTTCATGAATAAGAGCAACCATATTAGTATAAAAACAAAAGGAAACAACACAGAAGATAAAAATTCTGCGACACCTTAAGGACAAACAGTTATATTTTAATGTGAGTTTTCATGGATAAGTCCTCTTCCTCAGGCAACTCTTGCATTTAAGGAAAAGGACTTGTCCACAAAAACTCACATTAAAATATAGCAGTTAGCCTTTAAGGTGCCACAATGTTTTTGTCATCTTGATTTTTTTGTTTTTGGCCTAATACTGAACCCCAAGAGATTGCTATGAGTAAAAAGGTCATGCAGAAACATTTTTGAGTTCCATGTCACTTTTGGGGGCCTCTAAGAAACTACTGTGGTTGCTTCTGTTTGAAAAGGCTTGATGGTCACATTGCTATGTCAGACTTTCACATCTTCCATAGTACTGTGACCATCAAGTTCTTTGCAAACGGAGAGGGGGGTGGGCAATGTGTAATTCCCCCTTCACCTTTCAAACCTCCATGTCCCCCTAAGCTCCCAGTAATTCAGAAAAACATTTTTGCTCAAAAAACTACCTCTGGCCTCTAGGAGGTATGATGGAGCAATTTCTCCATGTTGGATCCTTCCAACAGTTCTTAAAAGTTTTCAAACTAAAAATTAAAGGTTTTAAATCTTTTTGTTCAGTTGGACATTTGTGCCCTCTAAGGAGCTTCTTCAGATTTTTTTTTAAAAACATTGTTTTGTTCAACCCAGTTTTTCAGTGAACAAAAATAACTTCTAACAAACCTTATAGAATTGCATTAAAAAAATTAAAACATGCAGATTTTGAAAAATAATCCTAGGCCTGGATAAGATCACCAACTGCTGCTTCAGATACAGCGAAAGCAAGGGGTTGTATATAGCTGCACTGAAAGTTCAGGCTAAGATCAGTGCTCTTGTGGAACAGTGATGGCACAGGTAGCAAAAAAAGAGAGCCAGCATTCAAGTAAAAAGGAAATAGTGCTCACAAGTGGGATCTGCAACAACTTGCTGGGGAGTTCTCTCTCGCCATGTTCCCTTTCAAGCTATGGCATTTTGTTACCCCAAAATCACTGAGTGTGCTCAATCCTAACTAGATTGTTTTTCTTCCCAACCTCTCTTCTAGTTCTATAAACCTTGATGATCTCTCAAGCATCTATCTTGTACACAGATGATGCTTTCTGGCTAAGGAGCAGCACTCAGACAATGAGTTTGCTACCAATACACAGGCTATTATAACCTTTATTGATTTCTATTCCTATCAGTTCTGTGAAGGTGACATTGAGGGGCTGATAGCCAAGAAAGACAAAAGGTATAAAGTTCAAGTTCAAGATATTTACCACCTGAATTCAGGACCCATGTGATGAAGTGTTTTTCTGATTCCTGATACTGAACAACTGCTTTTATTTGGTAAGAATATCCTCGAAACCGAAACGAGTAAGCTGCCAAGTCATTGTGTCGCAAACCTTCAACGAAGTGTATCATAAGCACTGAGGAAACACTACCAAAAAGACACAAATATGTAGGTTTAGAATTAAATAACTCACTAGAATATTAATAACATTGTCAACAGAGAATTAAAAAATCCAAGATGGTTGTGTATAGATGAGAATACACATTTCATTTTGGATTCACAGGGCAGAGCTTTCAGACAGAACTGTCCATCCCCCACTATGTGGAATATGCAGCTCCCTGCCAAGTAATACATTCTTTATACAACAGGACCCATCAAAGCTGACACTGCACCTCAATGCTTCTCAAAGAATCAAGACTACAACATGCACATTCCTTACAGTACAACTCAATCTTTTTTTGTCCATTCCTGATGTTGTTTTCCTCACCCCCACTTTGGTATCTTAACACAATAAAGACTTACTTTTCTAGAACCATTTTCCTTCTTTGAGATGTATGATTGCAGTTATTACAGGGGGCGATATGAACAGCATTCAGTGGGTGCCATTCTGGGATTATATTTGTAAATGTTGTCAATGTCTTCTGACACCTGAAATTAGGGAAATAATTATTGATGCACCACAGTGGCAACATTCTTGCAAAGCTAAATATCAGCACTAACTCAGCGCGGTTGAAAGAACTTGTTCAAATAAGTAGTCTTTATTCAGAATTAATTTGAATATTGCACAGCACTGAGATTGCTGTAAGTTTTCAGTGCTCATATCAGGCTGAGGCTATTGTAATGTGTCTGGAGTTCTTGAATCATCTTCTTTATAGGGTGAGACAAACTATCTCAGGCTATTTCTATTCACTGGCTAAGTATATTTCTTTGGCTACTGTATAACAACCACTGTTACTATTACTAAAACAGAGAAAAAGCTCTTAATATCAAATCAGAATTGTAACAATAATGAAAAATTATTGTACAGTGGGGTCTCTACTTAAGAACTTAATGCGTATTGGAAGGTGGTTCTCAAGTTGAAAAGTTCTTATGTTGAATCTGCATTTCCCATAGGAATGCACTGAAAACCATTTAATCCGTATCTGCTCTTTTCTGTCCATAGAAACTACAGTGGAACCTTCTTCTTAAGAACTTAATCGGTTTTGGAATGGTGCTCTTAAGTTGAAACGTTCTTAAGTTGAAGCAAATTTTCCCATAGGAATGGACTGAAAACCAATTAATCCGTTCTGGCTGTTTTTTTGTTATGTAGAGGTGCGTTCGTACATTGAAGCATTAATTCCCATAGGAACTAATGCAAAGCTGGTTAATACGTACTCTACCACTAGGGGGAGAAATTTTTTTAACCTAAGATGACCTAAGGTTAAAAAAAGAGCAGGAAAGGTTTTTTTTCCCTGTTCTTATCTTGGATTTCTGTTCTCAAGTCGAAGCAAAATTTAGCAAATGGAGCTGTTCTTAAGTTGTATTGTTCTTAAGTAGGGACGTTCTTAAGTAGAGACCCCATTGTAACATACATCTTTCCCATTATGGAAGAAAGGAATGGAAGTAATGATATGCATGGGGTGACAGGAGCATTTCATGTTAGACTAAACCATATCTGAGATATAGTTTTTATGCTGGAACTTCACTAACAGTAAAAAGTGTGGTCTAGTGAATAAAAGTGGCTGTATAGGACTCAGGTGACTTGAGTTCAAAACTCACCAGGCAGTGGGGGCTAGGAAGATGCACTGATAAAATCCTATTAAGGTCACTTACTCCAAACTTAATGTATAAGTTACTTATAACTTATATTGTGTAGGTTACTTCCATTTTATTTACTTACTTACTTTACACACACACACACACACAATTTATATCCCACACATCTAGACCCAACTCTACTCTGGGTGGCTAATAACACTGAATACTTAGTTACTTCCATCACACACACAAAGAATAAAAATTCAGATGTTCAAGTTATGCAACTTGGTTATTTTTCACAGCAAACAAAACACTTTTATGCTAAGCAGTGAGCTAAGATGCATGGACAGATAAGAGCATGCACATAATACTCCTGCCAATACTAGTATCTCATACTGTTGGTGAAAGGAAAGAAATGTATAGCAACTTGAAATCTTAACATGAACCTGCAGACACACACACACACGCGCGCGCACACAAAGAATAGAGGACAAAACATCTAAAGAAATTAACCTGTCAGTAACTTGGTGGCCACACTGTGAACATTCAAGTTTCCAAGAAAATGAATGGAGAAAGAGCTCCTCAATGTGTGCATCCTTTTGTAGAAGCAGAGGAAAAGCAAATACTGGGCTTTCCTCCTCACCTTTAAAAACAAGAAAAGCAAAATGGAATTATAATTTAGCACACAATAATGGACATGCTACATGGTATATTACTACAATGAAAAGAAACCATGTAATTCAGCTGATGGCCCTTCCAAAGCAATATTTCAGGATCTCAAAATGCTGTTGAAAGGACCACTTGAAACAAAGATTTGTAGAAACAAAGATTTGTAGATAGTTCAGACTGGTAGATTTTGGTTTCCTTTTCATTAAGAAAACATACATAACAACATTTTAGTAACTAAAAGCACAATACAATTACTTTTACTGAGAAGTCTATTAAGCTCTATGAAATATGTCCAGTAAAAGTCTAAAGAGTAGCTAAGGCAGTTTGTAGAAAACAAAAATATCTATATGCACAGAATTGTCCAGCAAAATGTCGTGTTTCCCATGTACAGTAGGAAAAGGCAAGAAAAATTGCTGATGCATCTAAATAGAGAATACTGTAGAAATGTAAAATACTTTTTCCCTGCTACTGATATACAAGTGTATGCAATTACAGAGTAAATATAAGATAATTAAACAACTAGTTTGCTTTCTCTCTGTGTAAACCATCTGATCTTAAACACAAACCAGTACTCTGGGAATTAATCAGTCCACTAATTTGTTTACAAAGCTCCAGGATATATATAATGCCAAGTTACAGCTTAGTGCTACAAGACATCAGCTCTGCTAACTTCCCCTGCATACCAAAATCCCTTTTCTCTTTTTCTTGTTTGGCATTTTGCTCAACCAGGTTTAGAGATTACACTTATACTATACTTTGGTGGTTTGGGTAAACCTGATTTAGAAATTACAAATTCTTTTTTGTAAAGGCACAAGCATGTTTTTGGGCAAGATAAAACTGCAATGTTTTCTCCAAATTAGGAACAAAAGGAAAGAGATCACCTCATAAAACGGGAAATAGAGAGCTTGGACCTAAGGGCTACATGAGGCTTAGGAGCCCGGTCGTACTGTGTCAAGTCATGTAGTCACTGTGTTCCACCTGTAACCAGCCCTTGAGCATCTGAACCACCTGCTATATTTCTTTGGCTGACAATTTAAATACAGTAGATTCCCCTCCCATTACTTCTCACTGCCTCTTATGAAAAATGCATTCTCTCCTATCCGAGAGTTTCAATAGCCAACCAGCTGTCTAAATCTCACATTCTATTTTGTAGTCAAATTATTCCACCACTATTATTTCGGTTCTTAACTTCATATCTTTATTATGCTGCAGCAATACTACAAGACACATCTTCAGAGGAGAAGCTGGTCTATTGTGTTTTTAGCAAAGGTTGTTTCCCTGTGCAGGTGGGAGGGTGGATGGGTGGGGGGAACAGCAGTAACTAACTGGCAAAATACATGCTTTTCTAGGGTTCTAAACCTTATCCCTAAAATCTGAAGGTAGAGCAAGAACTGATCGCTGTTTGAAACTCTAGAGATCAACTGCCAGGAATGACAAATAAGATGCTACTGGACTGTAACTCCCAAACTCCCATTATCCCTCATCACTGGTTCAGGTGGCCAGGGGCAGCTAGGAGTACAATCTAATCACGTTTTAATCATTCACCACAGTGTAGACAGTACTATATTAGACAAACCAATGGTCTGTTTCTGTCTAATGCTACTGCTTATGCCCTTATATTGCATCTCTAGATTTCAAGGTGTTATAGCATTAAATACTAGCTGATATGGTATGGCATCTTCTATGTTGAGTTTGGAGACTTCACTGAGCCTTGTGGACAGTCAGTGAGGAAAGCAAGATGCTGGGCTTGACAGATAACAGCAGTGTTCTTATTCTGAAATGAGTAATCACCAGAAAACAAAACAGCTGGACTCCACAAAGGCATTAGATCACTGAAACCAGAACCCTATTTGAAACTAATGTCAGAGAAAAGTGGTTTCTAGCAGATGGACAGGGCGAGCCGAAGAACAGCAAGAGCACTTTAATATATTAGCACAGAACTCTGAGGAATCACCCCCCCCGGACCCATAAATGAAGAAACCAGAGACAAAAGAAATGAGACCACAAAGGCATTAGATCACTGAAACCAGAACCCTATTTGAAACTAATGTCAGAGAAAAGTGGTTTCTAGCAGATGGACAGGGCGAGCCGAAGAACAGCAAGAGCACTTTAATATATTAGCACAGAACTCTGAGGAATCACCCCCCCTTGGACCCATAAATGAAGAAACCAGAGAGAAAAGAAATGTATGAGAAAAAGAAATAAAGGGGGGGGGTAAAATATTTTAGCAGTGTACCAGTTACTACCAAATCTGAAATCATCATTAAATTTTATGTAAAAATCTAAGGTTTTATAAAACAAAAAGTTTTCTGAATACACTTACCCAGTTTACATTTCAGCTGGGCCTGAAGTTGGACAAAAATTATATTCCTGATTTCATTCAAGTATGATTCAGCTCTTGACAGAACATCTGATGGGATCTCTAAAATATTCTTACCTAAATGAAAATGTGTGTTAATCTATCAACATGTGGTTCCCCAAAAACTGTTATTTTGTAGTACTGTATGATACTAACCAAATATCAGATAAATAAAATCATATAATTAACATTGCAGCAGCGAATAACAATACATTTAACAAAATTTAAGCCATCCAGAAAGAAGTTGGCTGCAGTCATCCTCAAAATGAATCCCCAAAGCGAAATATAAACTGTTCCGACCTGTGAAGATAACTGCAAGGTCAAACCTGTGCCCAGTTTCTCATGGAGATCTGGATTTACTAGATTGAAAACAGGCTCAGAAAAAAACACTTATACACTGCTGCATGGAAATAATGTCTCCAGCTTAGTGGGAGCCAAGAGCATACTGTATAAGGAAACTACACTTTGCATCCTGTACAGTGATGCCTCGCATAGCGATTGCTCCATTAGCGACAAAATTGCTTTGCGACGATGTTTTTGCGATGGTCCCTATGGGCTATTTTCGCTTTGTGATGATCGCAGGGAAGCAATCATAGCAAAGCCTCCATTTTCGGCCAGCTGATCGGCGGTCTCAAAATGGCCGCCGGGTAAACAAAACGGCCACCTGCTGTTTTCAGGCATGGATTCCTCGCTTTAGAGGCACTGAAAATGGCAGTGTTATGGAGGATTTTCACTCAAAGGTGAGTTTTAATTAATTAATTAATTAATTAATTTTATATCCCGCCTATCTAATCGGTTAAGACCACTCTTAAGCCCATAGGAACACATTAATCGCGTTTTAATGCGTTTCTATGGGCTTTTTTATTTTGCTTAGCGATGTTATTGCTTAGCAGCAATTTTTTCAGAATGAATTAACATCGCTAAGCGAGGCACCACTGTATTTACAAACCTATTGTTCTAAGAGAATCATCCCTTTAAAAGAGATATGAATTGGTTAGAGAAAAGATTGTGTCATTCAGCACATAACAGTAAAACTCTCTTGGAAGTAGAAAGGTAGTTATCACATTTCTTTCCTCCCTACCATTTGATGCCTACATCATGGAAGCCACCTGCCACTGGAGGGAGAACTGGCCATTCACATGATACCAGACTTCAAAGGACCATGCCCAAATGGACTCAGGGTGGGGGGGCTCCTCAGCACGGGAGGACAGCTGTGTGTTTCTTCTTGCTACATTCCATCATGGTGCACCCCTGCCAACTACCTATAAAATTAAATTCTGAGGCACCAGTGGCTTTCTCTCTTCATTAGGACTAAAAGAACAGAAGGTCATCAGTGTTCTGGCTGGTCCAAAAATGCCAGTTAGCACACTGGAGAACTTGTGGTTTTTCAGAATTGTGTGAGACAGACTTCATGGAGAAGAGTAACAATTGAGATATACTGCCACTACTGAGGCTGTCCCGCAATACAATTTTGAGGACATAATTGATCATGCTTTAGTGTGTGTTCTCACTTTCAATAGGGCACACTGAGAGCCTACAATAGGGCACACTGAAAGCCTACTCAGCTTTGTAACATAGACTGCACGGTGGACATATGACCTTGTATAATTCTTAGTGTGCAGGGGCTCATGGGTTCTGTATCAACCAATTAGGAGTTGCTTGGCAGATAAAAGTATGCCCAAAAGGTTAAAAAAAGTTTTGATGCAAGAACATCAAACTCCATGCAAGTTATTGATATGAGGCGAGATTGTTCCATGGTGAGGTAGAGATTTTTTAGACTTCACACAGCCCTTGTTCCATATTACATTTCCTATTCAATCTAATGAAGAGATTAGAAGTCTATCAGGGCAAATTTGGTTGCTGGGCAAGGTAGACAATGTGTAAGTTATGCAAGAGTAGGAGAATATTTAAAGTAAAAACACATATTTCTTCTCTTCCACAAGAGCTGTATGAACTACAGATGATTCTGTCAAAAGCCCTTCTACAATTTGGGTATATATTGATAAAAATATCAGCATTCAAGTTACTGATTCACATTATTCTGATAGCAAATTGAGAAAACTTATTTGACTCACCCCTTTGGCAATTATTCACAAGTACAGTCACTTGGTTATATTTTGCAAACAGTTTCTGGATTACAGATATGTTTTCTGAGACTGATCCAATGCAAACTGTTCTTGGTGTTTCTAAATGCACAATGGCTGACAGAACACAATCTAACCAGCAAAGAGCATGCACATTTCTCCACTGCAACCACAATGTCTCTGGCACAGATAGTTTGTCTTGAGGCAGAATCTGAGACACTGATGAACCACTCTCATAATTTGAAAAATGCTGTATCTGCACCCTGGACAACACCGGTACATTTTTTTCAGTTGCCGCTTCTATGCCCATTTGTTGTTCCGTGGATTCAGCTGCACTGCAAAGACTTGGCTGACCGGCTTGTGAAAAATCAGGTTGCCCTGACCGAGTCTCAGATGAATTATTTCTACACTTGGGAGGAAGATCAGGTCTGAATGTCTGCTCAGCATTATTAGTTCTAGTCAGTTTTGAGGCTGGCTCAATGACAGAGGTCACAAGTCTTGTGTCAAAGAGCTTTCTTTTTCTGCAAGTTTCTTCACATAAATAACCTTTTGCATCAATGGGAATAACAATGTTGCTTAAAGGTTCAGATCCCAAAGGGTAGATGCACTGAAAAATAAACAAAAGGAGAAGAAAAACACGCCAGATGTTAATATACACATAACATTTGAATAAATTAATGTGACATAATTCAGATCCCGAAGAAAAAAACTATCCACAAAAACTTCCAACAACAAAATCCAAAGAAAAAGATAGGTGATACCTTTATTAGACCACTAAAATAACACAAGTAGAAACTAACCTTTCACCCCACAAGACAGATGTTACAGACCTGGGGGTGACGCACATGAAATATAAAAGTTCCAAAATCTGCAGATTTCCTTATTTAAAGCAAGTTCCAAAATGGGGACTACACAATAAGCCCAGAGGTGGTAGGTTTCAGCTTTCACTTTGGCAGTAGAGATCAGCATGTCTAGACTCCAGTTTCTGGGTTGTGCACAATAACTAGCAACATCCCAAAATTTTAAGTACTATTCTTCCCTGGCATTTTTCTTTTAAAAAACAATCAAAAAGACTCCAAATCCCAGTTAACAAACAACATTATAACAATAACACTATAAATTAATTCACTAAAATTTGAACCCTTAGAAATATATCTAAATCAGCACTAAGGGAGGTACCTACTAAGATCATTTTTAAGTACTGCTTCTGATTGGGTGCCTGCCAGAGGAGGTGGGGCAAGGGAAGCCGAACTGCAGTCCATGCCCATCTCTACAACATATTTTTGCTTCTGAACTCTATTTTTAAGTGTTGCTTTTATAGATGATAAGGACAGGTTACTTACCTGTAATTGTGGTTCTCTGAATGATCTATGAATTCACATGTCTGGGTCTCCTCTGTGCCTACATAGATGAACCTGGGAACATAGGGCATTAAACCCCCGCCCCATTTCAGATAGTATACTGGCTCAGCCTAACAACAGCTCCTCAGCTCCCTCTATGCAACATCACTGCCTAAATGGAAGTAGTGTGAAAGCCAGAGGGGAGGTTGGGTGAGTTGTGGGAATTCACAGATGACCACTCAAAGAATCAAAGTTACAGGTACATAACCTGTCCTTCCTGGTCTCTGTGATCCACACATATGGGTGACTCCTAAATTAACTTACCAGTTGGTGGGATGTCACACAAGTATAGAAGATAGTACCGTGCAACCGAACAATGCATCCTATTTGGCCCTCACATCCAACCTGTAATGGTTCACAAAAATCATAGGCTAGGACCAGGCTGCAGCCTTGCAAATGTCCTGTAACTGACTCCCTTTCAAAAAGGCTGTATAGCATGTGCCAAATGTTCCTTTAAAGTATTAAGGAAAGAACACTTTATTTAGCTAGTTCATATGATAATGAAATTGCTTTTATAACCCATTTAGATGGCCTCTGGAACAACACTTGTTTGCCTCTTCTGTTTCATTGATAGCAAATTTAAAGTTTATTAGTCTTTCTGAAAGTATGTGTTCTATCAACACAAGATGGAAGAACATGCCTAAAATCTAATGTGTACATTGTCTTTTACAAGGGAAACATAAGAGTTAGAAAAAACAAAGGTAACACTAGTGGTTGGTTCAAATGAAAACTTGAAACTATGTTGGATAGAAAAGAGATGTCTGTAAACTAGGTCATCAATTAGCTGTATTTTGCCATCACAAGATACACAGTTTTTAAGCGAGTCCTTAGAGGCCACAAACGACGACGAAGGATGACGTATACGAATTATTTCTTCTTCTTTTAGGGCATGAAGAACAAAGTAAATGGAGGGAGGGAGGATAATCAGGTAAGTAAAATAAAGTAGAAAAGGTGGCAAAGCTCCAAAACATGTCCCAGACACTGTGAGAACAGCGGTTAGAGGGAACTGAGGAACAAGCAACTGTTGAATGGAGCGAGTATACTAGCTGAAGGGAGAGATTTGAAGCTTTAGAATATTCCCAAGATCATCTGCACAGGCACGGAGGAGACCTATATGTGTGAATCACAGATGCCGCAAAGAAGCTGATTATTACCACCATTTTCCATTTTTATGTTTTACAAAGAAGGAAATTCATCATCAGCATGTTAGAACTGCAGAGCTGGAACATACCCTGTGGATCACTAAGTCCAAACACTGTCAAAGAGGCACACTGCGGAGTTGTACTCCCAACCTCTAACTCTACAGCCATATACCTAAAGCACTGAACCTCTCTAAATCAAAGGTAGATTAAATAGCTGACTTTGATCCAACCTGCTCAAGCTCTCCTACTGAATAACCTATCTTTCCACCCAATTATTTCTTTTCATGTTTAGCCCAAGTATACAGCAGTCTTAGAATTAGAACCTACCAATGCTGCCTCTTTTTCAGTCTGGAACCAAGGCTCTCTAATCTATACTTCGGAAAGGCGACAGGGGAAAAAGCGACCACATTTAGGAATCAAAAAGGCTAAACATACTGATTTTCTTTTCTTGGCCCCAACAGTTAACAATTTTCAGGCACTAAATTGCTCCTGAACCCTTACGAAACTGCTCATTCCATAGCTCCCAAGAGATCCCTGGGAGCTATGGGGATCCTTAGGAACCTGGAATTGGGAGAAGCAGTTGATGCCTCTGAAATAGCTGCCAAACAGGTTTCCAGCCAATGTATTTGTGGAATATGAAATCTGGATATCTGATACTAACTTGGTTAACAAAATGTTACGGCAACCATCTGGTAAAACTCCATATATGTCCAGATTAAAAATGGGGAGGTAAAGCAAGTGGATAAATTCCCGTTTAGCAACTCAAATCAAAGAAATACCTCTGGATTTTCACATAGGAAAATAGATTCTTCAAAACTGATGCGATATGTTCTTAAACGCTGTATCAGACCCTTCTTTTTGCAAGCCAGGCAGCATCCATCTGAAATTACTTGAACAGAATTATGGTCCTAAAGTGATATAAAACAATAAAAAATGTTGTTCCTGAAAAACCCAAAAATTAAGTATAGCAAAATAACATATAACATATGCCACTCTTGTATCCAAAGAGTTAAATCTAACAGCATGGAAGCACAAGAAAATATAGAGAAGTCTCCAAGAAAATAATACTATATGATTTGCTTCATGTTATTTACATTGAACAAAATTAATTCTGTTACCATTCGGTGCTCTAAAATACACCCAGCACCAGAACAAATGTGTTTATGAATGTGTTTGTAACAACCAACACTATTTGAACAGTAAATCTTTCGCCATTTCAATAAGATTTCCGTGCAAAAGTAATCTGATAGAAAATTTACAAAGATAGCAATTTTGTTTTTGTTGTACAGCAAAATTATAGGCCAATAAAGTTTATTTTTTTTTCAGAACTGATGAGTTAAAAGAACTTTGCACAATGCAAAAGTGAACTGAACTGACTTTTCCCAAATATCCCACCATGTGGAATGCAGATGCCCCTATATCAGTGTGTTGCAAACCATGTTCACTCTTCTGGCAATCCATCATTCTGAGGCACTGGCTAAATTATCAGTTGTAACATTTTCAAGAGTCTTAAGGATATTTTTCATACAGCCTGAAAGATAAGAAATGAACAGAGAAAGTTAAATAAGCATTTCCTTCCCCAATTGCAACTGTTAGAAAGCATGATAAAGGATTCTGTTACCATTTGGAATGGTATAGTGCATACTTGTAAGGAGCATACACAGAAATTACAAGAAGATAAGCAAAAACACTATAATAAAGGTTAACATTTGCCAAACAATATATTAATTATCACCAATAGTTCTCAAAAATGCTGCTGCTGTTCCATTTCCAAAACTTCCATGGCAAAAGCAAGAAACAAGTCTTGCACAGGTTAGTGCAGGGGTATTTCTAACTGCGTTCCTTGTGGGATCCACAGAAATAACACAGCATGGCTTCACATTTTAGCTTAAAGAAGTGGGCTATATAATACCTGATGTAATGGCACAATCGGTGAGTAGAAAGCTTTGCCTACACTGTATGTAACACTGGATAAAAGAACTGGGCATGAGAAAAGAAGTCTGAGGGGAGATATGAAAGCACTTTTCAAATATTTGAAAAGTTTTCAGAGGAAGGGAAGGATCTGTTCTCAATCACTCTGGAGTGCAGGACACATAATAATGGGCTCAGTTACAGGAAACAAAAAAAATTCCTAACTATTACAGCAGTACAAGAATGGAACCAACTACCTTGGGAGGTGGTGAACATCCAACACTGGAGGCATTCAAGGAAAAAAACCTTCAATTTGGATTCATGCATTGAGCACGGGGCCCAACTTGATGGCCTTATGGGCTCCTTCCAACTCCATTACTTTATGATTCTGTATGGCTGCCATGAACAATGCAGTAAACTGCCCAATCTCCTAATTATGACTGTAGTGGGAAGTAACTTGTATGTTCACTCTCTCTTTCCTATTCCCTTCTCTAGTCAATCTTAACCACAGTTCACATGTCAGACATGACGTAAGACTTCTAATTCTTGTTAGAACTTGGAAAAGTTACTTTTTTACACTGCCAGTAACCCTGTTGTCTGCAGATTCTGTAAGCTGTACTAAAAAAACCAGTTTTCTAAGGTCTCATCCTGGCTTCATTTTCTACTCAAATATATGGTTTTCAGTACCTTGATATTGATATGAACTGCAGAATACTACATCATGTGAATTTTAACATGAAATTGAAAAAGAGTGCAGAAACACAGTGGGAGAAAAAAGAAAGGTATACATGAAGTGCTTCTCATCCCTTCACAGGAATTGGGAGATAAGGTAGCATTATATCCAAACCTGTGTTAAGTCAGAAATTTGCAGCATTTACACTGTGATTTCAAAGGAAACACACAGGACATCTACATGACTGATAAGGCTTAGGTCTTTTCTTCACTGTAAAACTGTCTTCAATATACTGTGGTGCCTCGCTTAACGGGTGCTCCGTTTAATGACAAATCCGCATAGCGATGGCTTTTTTTGCTATCGCTTTTGCGATCGCACTGCGATGTTGCCCCATTTCCCCCCAGCTGAGCGGTGGGAGCTTCCGAAGCCACTGCCGCTCAGCTGGGCGAAAATGTCAGCTAGGGCTTGGGAAGGAGCGTGGGGGAGGGTTCCCCCGCGCTCCTTCCCAAGCCCTAGCTGGCGCGCCTGCCGCTTAGCTGGGGAAAAATGCCAGCTAGGGCTTGGGAAGGAGCGCTCCTTCCCGAGCCCTAGCCGGCATTTTCCCCCAGCTGAGCGGCGGTGGCTTCGGAAGGACCACGGGGGGGGGGTCCCTCCCCCGCGGGCCTCCCCAAGGAAAGGCCCCATTTTCACACAGCTGATTGGCAGTTCCAAAATGGCTGCCCGCTGTGTTGCCTCGCTTTAGAGGCACCGAAAATGGCCGCCCCTATGGAGGATCTTCGCATAGCGGTGAGTTTTCCCCCCATAGGAACGCATTAAACAGGGTTTAATGCATTCCTATGGGGTTTTTTGCCCCGTATAGCGACGAATCCGGATAGTGACGATTTATCCGGAACGGATTATCGTCGCTATGCGGGGCACCATTGTAATTTGAATTGGCTATTTTTCAAAATATGGAACGTAGAAGTCATGAAGAAATAAAAGTCTTGTAGAAACGTAACAGGTTTTGCAACTGGCTAACATTATTGCATTAAAATTATAATTAGATACCCAAATGGAGTTTGAAATGCTTGCCAATGATTATCTGATTTCATTCTGGAATTAACTCTTTACTGGGAAAATGTCAACTATGATGAGCCATAGTCTTCTGATCTTGGCCTAGGAGGTCTATATATTTCTTTAGGACTCCTGAGGGAGCCAGGCATCCTCAAGGATCAGACATATTCATCTGGCCCTGCATTAAAAAACACAGCAGGAACAGCCCTCCAGAAAATGCCTGGATGCATGCATGCATGCCACTGCCATTTTGTACATTACATACATTCAGAACTACAGTGGACCCTTGATTTACAGACGGCTTGACTTACAGACTTTTTGAGTTACAGACTTCTCTGGCCGCAAAATTTAGGTTTGACTTGCAGACTGAGATTTGACTTACAGACCAGAAAAAAACCAAAATGGAACAAAAACGGCCTGTTACGGGATTAATCGGTTTTCAATGCACTGTAGGTCAATGGAGACTTGACTTACAGACTTTTTGACTTGAGAACCGTCTTCCAATACGGATTAAGTTCTCAAGTCAAGACCCCACTGTAGTGTTTGTGGTGTGAATTTAAGCAGGAGAAGGTGGCCTATGGGGTCACATAGATAAGCACTTTTTCTGTTGCCTCAATCACACATTACCTTTAAAAAGCTAATGTAAATGGCAATCCATCAGGTATTATAAAAATCATACAATCTTTATAGAGGTTTTCAGCCACTTTTGATTTCACAGTACTTTGTCTTTTCTTTTTCTAGAGAATCAAACATACTTTTCTAGCTTTCACCAGCAACTTTAAAAATGCAATAAAAAGGGAGGAAAAACATTCTGGAAGGGCATCCATGTTAACTGCGCACAAAAACTAGTTAGTACTACACTAGAAATATTGAATTCATTTTAAAAAATAGTGATACAAGTTGGAAAAAAAGTGACAATTTCTAACATGATATTTATCTTTTCTAACAGTGCTGTGTGCCTGACTGATATTTCCACTGCTACTCTGGGACATCTTTTTTCAATAAGCACTGCCAGCTAAGACTACACTAGTGCAGATGTATGGTTAGGTGTCTACCCCAGTGAGTGCTGCTTTACAGTACTCACACTAAACTTTGCTATTTTGTTGACTCACCCAGTACAGAAGTCCTCTTGGAGTTCTTCAGAGTCCATGGACATTCATGATCCTGAACAATTTAGTGTCGTTCACTAACTTTATCACTTTAATGCTCAGCAGATCCACTTTAATGCTCAGCACTGATTTCAGCAGAGATCTTTGGATATCCTATCTTTTACTCTAAGAATTGCACATTTATATCAACTTCTTGCTGGCTCTTAACTAGTTTCTGATAGAAGTCAATTCTCTTTTCCCATTATTAATATTTCCAATTTGGGAGCCTTTGGTGAAGAACTTGTCACAAACCTTTTGGCATTCCAGCCTTAAAGTATCTACTAGACTGCTTCTAAGTGCATTCAAAAGTATTCCAGAAGGTCAATGAGGCAGGACTTTCCTATACAAATGCCATGATGACTTTTCCTCAGAAAGATTTGTTTTCTTCTTCTCAAATCCTGAGTGAGGCTTTCTATTAATTGATCTAAACAACTCATGTATATTTTTTAAACTTCACCTTATCCCCTTTAAAAGCATTTAAAAGCACAAGCTGGACATTGAAATTGTCAAGGGAGGAAGGCAAACCCATTTTCCCTTTCTCCCATCTACAGAAGTTACAAGTCCTATTCACTACCATCATTCTAAAACTACATATGCACTAAGTTTGCCTAAATTTGCATTCAACCTGCTTACATACAAATAATTAAACACTAAGTTAAAAATTATGTACTTTGTGGCTGTACCTCACTGAACCATCATGAGCAGTACGGAAGATGAGGAACAATAGCGCAATTATTATACAGAACAACAACAACTGTGTGTCATCAAGTCAATTCTGACTTATAGTGACCCCTTTCCAGAAGTGGTTTACCACTCCCTTCCTTCTGGAGGCATCCTCGGACTGTGCAGCTTGCCCATAACTGCACACGCTGGCTTGTCTTCCAGGAGACACAGTGGAAAACTGAATTCCCAACCTTTAGCTCTGCAGCCAGATACCTAAACCATTGAGCCATCTAGCCAGTTTATAAAACAAACATAATTTCATTTTTGTCTATTACCAAGTGTACTGTTGATGTTCATACACAGTGATGGAACAGATGAAGGCTAAAACTGAGAATTAAGTCAGGATACTCAGGAGACACAGACAGACTCTGAAATCAGAATTTGGCTTATTTAGGGGAGTAGTACTCCCCTAAAGAATCAGATTCACCATTTGAAGAAGGTAGCACTTCTGTCTTCACATCTCTGAGAGGCAGTTTAGGCTGAGAGACAATGAATGGCCATAGAAATCCACTGAGCTTCATGGCTGAGTGGAGATTTGAACAAGATTATCCCAAGCTTGACATTCTTAATTGTGACAATAGATTGGTAAGGTTGAACCTGTTCACAGAATCTATAGGGAAGTGTTTTTAATACATGATCAGTCATGCCACATTATCAACATAGTATTTTAAGAAGTCCTCTGACACCTTGAAGAACAATGAATTGATTACATCACAAGCTTTTGTACACCACAACATACCTATCTAATCACGTAAGTAAATATACTTCTTGGGGGGGGATCTAATTCCAGTGTAATTATGAACTCAATTGTTAATAACCCTGTAGAATTTCTATCAATACCTGTAGATATTTCGTGTCCTCTTCACTTGTGTCAGAAGCAATCCAATAGTGGTTTTGGGGTGGAAGGGCTAGTTGACAGAGCGCTATCACTACCTGGGGACACCCAAATGTGTTCTTAATCCGCAAATTTTTCAGGGAGGCTCCTTCTGTTTTTTGACTGTAATCAGTTGCATAAATATATCAGTATTTAGAATACTGTTGTTCTCTCATCCCACTTTTCCCAGCTTTTAAGTTAGGATTCAATGTTTTTTTTTTACTTTGCAAACATGAACAGCCCTGCATCCCAGAAACACAAGTATGTTAACTGCAAACCTCTTGCCTCCATAAAGTTTAGAGATGGGCACAAACCTCAATTCAGAGGTTTGTACCGGTTCATATAGGTTCCCTTCCTCCACCTCCCCGACGAGTGACCCACTCACCTGTCAGAGCATGCTCCTCTATTCCTCCTTTGGCTATTCCACCAGTCTCTGGCAGGAGCACAGGCTTGCCTGTCCTGCCTTCTTGTCTGAGTGGGGAATCGGCCACAATTGTGGGGCAAGGAATCCCTTGCTCCTACCAGGGACTCGTTGAACAGCCAAAGGAGAAAAGGAGCACATGCAGGCTGGTGAGTGGGGGATCCAGGTGGGGAGGCAGGGAAATGGAACATGCAGCATCTCTGGTACCATGCATACAAACCAGCTTGAATATCCGAACTGAGGTTCACGTCCATCTCTCTTTTAGATCATTACAAAGCCACAATGGATCTTTTATGAGAACTAGTACCACAGTTATTTCCCTAGAGTGCCTCTGCCCCAACAAGAGATAGGGATTCTCAAAGAATAGGAGAACTATACTTGGTAGGAGACAGGTATTTTTGGCTTACTTTTTTTTTGACATACTGAACTTGTTTGAACATAATGCTAAAATATAGTTAACAATTTGCAAATGAGCCTTGTTTCATGCACAAACACTTCTCTTCCATCTTCCATTCCATTTTGATTTATTGCAATTTTGCTTATTGTCCAAACACAGACAAACTGTGATTAACCATAACAATGGGTGTTGAAATAAGGCAGTGTCAAATCACAGATTATGAAGATGTCTTGCTTTCATGCTCAAGAGCAACCACAGTTTATGGTTCAACAACATACTTCATATTGCTTAGTCTAAAATAGAACTGGAAGATTTTAGTCTCCTTAAAGTTCTACTAGAGGTGGAAACATGCAGAGGAGATAGGAATAGCTTAGCATCCTATGCAGTTGCAGCTGCTCAGTGCAAACCTATTAGCTGCAGCTCAGAAGTCAAGGCTTCCCTGCACTACAGTATTAACAGCCACTCAACTAGAAGTATGAGAAGGTCCAAAGGAATGGGGAGAGCTGTAAAGATAAATAGTCTGGAAAAAATGCTAGATGGTTTATTTATGTGATTTCCCTTTTGACATAACTAAGTGGATGTAAGAACACTCTTTCACCCTCTGGAATTTTACCGTTACCCCACCCCTATCCATTCCCTCTTTATCCCCTTGTACCCACACCCAACCCCTACTTTCACTGAAAATGAATTTTTTAAAAAACAAGCACTCAACTTACTGTGTTGTAACTTATGTGTTTCTGTGATGTAACTGCTTCCAGATGCACAGCAAAAATAATATATCCCTCATTAAACTTTGTTTTGAAAAGACCTTTCAAAAGAAATTTGTGCAAACTTCAATATGCTTTGAAGAAGAAATCACTTAATTATAAACATACAGGATAAAAATGTGTAATATTCACTTCAGGTCAGCAGCTGTATCATGTACAGTAACTAGGAAGGTATTTGGACCCATCCAGATTGGCTTCCAATCTCTATGGCCAAAATATGCATATGCTGTTTTTCTTGATAAACAGACTGATGTACTCTTCTTGTCTTGACTGATGATCCAGATGTCAACTGTGTTATGGTCCCCTAAAGCTGATTCCACTCATTTTTACGTATATATGTATGGAAGTGAAGGAAATACTTTTAACTAAGGGCATGACAGCTTATATGACTTTGACATCTATTCTCGCATCACTTGCCTGAATACAACACAGCTACTGCTACTGCTACTGCTACTGCTACTCCTAAGGGTATGACAGCTCATATGACTTTGACATCTATTCTCGCATCATTTGCCTGAATACAACACAGCTACAACTACAGCTACAGCTACAGCTACTGCTACTACTACTACTACCACCCTATTCCCCTGAAAATAAGCCCTAGTATGATTTTTCAGGATGCTCAGAATATCCTAGGGGGACGTGGTGGCGCTGCGGGCTAAACCGCAGAAGCCTTTGTATGCTGCAGGGTCAGAAGACCAGCAGTTGTAAGATCGAATCCACGTAACGGAGTGAGCTCCCGTCGCTTTGTCCCAGCTCCTCACCAACCTAGCAGTTCGAAAGCATGTAAATGCGAGTAGATAAATAGGTACCACCTCAGTGGGAAGATAAACAGCATTCCAGGTCTAAGTCACACTGGCCATGTGACAACAGAAACTATCTTCGGACAAACACTGGCTCTACGGCTTGGAAACGGGGATGAGCACTGCCCCCTAGAGTCAAACATGACTGACTAAATGTCAAGGGGAACCTTTACCTTTACCATAATATAAACCTTATCCCCAAAATAAGCTCGTTAAGTGAAACCCCACCCTCCACCATTGTGCAGCAACCAGAAGATGACATGCCTGTATTTGAATAAATGTAGATTGTTGTACATGAAAAAAATAAAACACCCCCTGAAAATAAGTCCTAATGTGTTTTTTTGGAGCAAAAATTAATATAAGAGCCTGTATTTTCTGGGAAACACAGTACTGCTTTATCAAGGTTAGGTCCTATTACGCTTATTATTACATGTACATGAAGTCGATTCTCTTCCATACTTACAGTCAATGGAACCATAACTGCCAGACCTCTTTGTAGCAAGACATCTACAACTATGTGCACTGCCCATTATCCTTTATATCTCATTGGACATGGAACATCTAAAACCTGAGCTTCATGAAAGGTTCATTACAATGAATTAATGTGGACAGAGAAATGGCTACAGATAGCAACCACATTCACAGGTTTGGAAAAAGCCATTGAAACAGTTGAGATACAAGTGTTCAACCATAAGGAGGTGGCTGCTATCATTTTTTTACACATGGTTAACTGGCTAAAGATAGAAGACATATAGAAAGACAAAAAACTGCAAATGTAAAAATAAATCATAAGAAGGAAGGTGTACTGTAGATTACAACAACTTAATTAGGAAGCGAATACTGTATATTTTGCAAGCTAAACAAGTACACCGACACTGCTATAAAACAATGTTGATGTACACCTGTACAGATGCCATGAGGCAATCAGTATTTGTGCTGTTTTCAGTAGCTTATGAAGCATATTTGAAATGTTCTGTCTACAAGGATTTTACATACTCTTGATGAAAACAGAATGCATAATACAATCAAATAAGCCAGGGGAAGCAAAGATCTGTAACACTGAGGTGGTCTGTGCACAGATATCATAACTCATAGCAAGTAGTAATGACAACCATGACCTTGTAACTATGTTTAGGTAGGAGACTGGTACTCCTTTTAGTCTTTGTTGATGAATGGGGATAATTCCTCAAAGTTCAAGCTAATGTATGTGTTTAGAATCCAGACATTTTAAAGATGAAAATCAGTAGATAAACTAATATAACTTGGGCCTCTATGTCAGCAGAACCTTGTCACCAGTGACACTCCCCGAGTCCAGAGAAGCAGCATGACTGCCAAACCATAATTCCCTTCCAAAAACCAACATGAAAGGGTTAAAGTTACTCTCTCCAAAATGCCAAACATCTATGGCACAGATGTAAAATGAATGGTGGAGTGAGCTCTTTTGCTCCCCCCCATAGATAAATGAACTGGTGGGATGAAATGTGTGTCATTCCTGCTTTTTATCAAACTGATCTTATCTTACTACTGCACTTTAATGACATAAAAAGCAACATTTGAGACATGCAGAGTTGTATTCTTTCTCATATTTATAACTTTTGCAGGCCATATATGTTTAATTGTAGTAAGACCTACTTCATTTACTGGTAATCACTCCCATATAAGCAAGCATAGAGGTGCAGGCTGAACTGTTCTGTATATACTAATTGGCAATACACCCTGTACTACACACCTACAAACTGCTGCATCCCTAGGCTACATCCTGTGATCCCTCCTATGTATCCTAACATCTCCCAGAAATATGTCTGGTCAATGCATTCCTATGGGAAATGCAGATTTGACCTGAGAACTTTTTGACTTGAGAACCGCCTTCCAATACGGATTAAGTTCTCAAGTCAAGACCCCACTGTATAAGAAAGCATAGAGGTGTAGGCTGAACTGTTCTGTATATACTAATTGGCAATACACCCTGTACTACACACCTACAAACTGCTGCATCCCTAGGCTACATCCTGTGATCCCTCCTATGTATCCTAACATCTCCCAGAAATATGTCTGGCTAGGATGAGAACTTTTTTGTACCTGTCCTTAAAACTCTGTTCAGAAATGTCCTCCCCTTTAAGATCTGACTCCCCCCTTCTTTAATGGCTTTCAGTGATTCACAAGAGCCATCCTTTATAGGAAGGTATTTGGTTGTAGGTGTTTGCTTTATTGTTCTAGCTTTAACTGGATGCTTAAAAAGTATTTTACTGTTGCTTCTCACATAATGCTACTTTAGTACAATATTTTACTTTTTTGTATCTTATGGATTTACATCTGTTGCTAGCGATCTTTTTTTCTTTTGAAGAAAAGTGGGATAGAATTTTAAATAAATAACTCAGCACATTTATCTTCATTTTCATGCCAGAGGAGAAATAGAGTAGAAAATAAAAGCTGAAAATGGAAACCACCAGAACAAAAATCACCAAAGGGCAAGGGAAAGGAAGGCCTGGTATGTTCCCCTCCTGAAGATAAGAGCAGCATTTATGTGCAGAAATGCATCCTGGGTTGGTATACTGAATGCATCAGTGTCTAGACAGAAACTATCTAATGTTGTGCATTACATAAATTTACATAAATATCTTGACAGAATCTGATTTCAGGGAAAGCAAAACTGTATCTTAGAAAGCACTTAACTCATTCAAAGAGATAATTTTTTCATTTATTTGCCACAGCCTCGGATTTTCTCTTTTAAAAAAATCCCTCTTTCCCCCTCAAAGGTATTTTTACCTTTTTCCAACCCTCTAAATATTCTATCCTAAGTCTTGGAACTATTCCTTTGGTCATATTTATCAAGGATTTATGACTACAGAGGGATGAGAAAATTACTTAACTGTGATTCTGTTTTTAAAAACTCTATATTTCTTGTTTGAAAAATACAGTAAAACGTTCATTAAAAAGAGACCCCAATCTGTCTCTTACCCCTGTTCTACAAGTTTAGCTTAGCAGAAAATGTAGTGTAACCAGAGCAAAATAAAGGACCACCTGCAATAAGAGCAACTTAACGTAACGCAGAAAAGAACCAAGATGATGTCATACGTTCCTTTGTGTCTGTCATCTTCCTCAGAAGTGCAGTATATTCCAATATATGTTTAAAAAACAGCAAGTTGCACAATACTCAGTCCCTCACTGGTACTCTTCCCATGTATGCACAGCAGGTATAGGCAAAATAATGTGTACAGTACTGTATTGTGTTTCAGCTCCCATCACCTTCAGCCAGCAAATCAGGGGTTTTAAGAATTGCAGTTCAAAATCTGAAGGGTGTCAAGCTACCTGTCTCTGATCTATAGGACTGCAGCCCTAATATACTAGGAAAAAGCTAAGGAAAAGGGGACCATTGGAGCTCCTCCTTCTAGTTCTGCATGCAGCAAAGCAGCCTACACACATACATCCCTGGACACTAGAGGATTGTACCCACACCGCATCCCCAAGGATTTTCCCCGCCAAAATTTTCAAAACATTGAAAATGACTCATCCCATTTAGTGGGCAAGAAACATTTATTTTAAAAATGGAGAGTAGGGACAGGGGTACATTCAAATATGCCATAATTGTGCCCATGCCTCTTAGCGAGCATTTCCCCCCCAAAATAATTTTCTGTGCAGCTGGGCTGTCCAAGGCTGCAGCAATTAAAACCCTATGGGTCACATGTTGCCCATCCCTGCGCTATTTTCTCATTCAAAAAAGGTATTGTATGGTGTTAGAAGATTTAGTCACGAAGTCTATGGATGTACAAAAGAGGCTCAAAGTCAATAATCTTGATCCACATGAAAGAATACTGAACATACAATGTGCCTAGGATTTACACATCAACAAGAAAAGCCATATGTAACTCCAAAACATTAGTTATTTCCATTATTTGGTGACTTATGACAGAGTATAGATTCATAAGTGCTGATGGGACAAGTTTTCACTTCTGCAGATTTATGTTGCATTTACATGGTTAGAAGATGCCCCGTAGGCTGTCACACTTCTTTTGGAAGGTCTCTTAGGTCAATATGACTGTTAGTAGTTCCTTCACCTGAAAGCAGGTATATTCCAAAGATGCATAACAAGCTGTGACCATATTGAATATCTGTTAATAGATCAAGCAATCCAATTCAGCACATTTAAAAGACCTGAAAGTTACTTGTTCCACTTTTCCAGGTTTACCCTAAAACTCAGGATTTTATATTCTGTTTACACTGTTTGAAAAATATGGTTTTTTTGTTAAAACTAGAACATAAAAGGAACATTCACATACATAAAGTGTAAATGAAGTGGGCTGCAGGACTGTGTCAGCTAGTTTTATCTGAAGTTTCTCTATTACCATACTGTATATTTGTGTACACTGCATACCATTTTGCTTCCCTATCAAAAATCACTAATAAGAAAACCATGTTACTCTTGCGTGGCAGCAGGCACTGATAGTACAAAAAAGCCATCTATTTTCATTTATTAAAAGATCTTGCTGCAGTACCATTTTTGTTGTTGTTCTTATGTGCTGTGAAATAAATAAATAAATAAATAGCTAGATAGCTAGTCTCCAACACATGGTGACCTTTGCACATCATGCATGGGTGTGAAAGCTGGGCAATGAAGAAAGCTGCCAAGAAAAAAAATTAATTCATTTGAAATGTACTGCTGGCGGAGGAAAGTTTTTAAGATACTCTGGACTGCCAGAAAAACAAACAAGTGGGCCCTAGATCAATTCAAGACTGAACTATGTCTCGAGGCAAAAATATTGAAATCGAGGCTATCCTACTTCAAGGCACATAATTGACAGGGCAGGATTCTCTGGAAAAAAATAATATGCGGAAAAGGTTAAAGGCAGCCAAAAAAGCATAAGACCACATACAAGATGGACTGATCCCCATAGGAAGCCACAGCTTGAGTCTGCAAGAGCTGAACACAGCAGCTGGGGATAGGACATTTTGGAGGGTCCAGACAGGTCTGTGGATAGCTCCAATTTCCCCCTTTTCAATTAATGATACACCCATTATTTTTATCTTACAATTACTGTACATGATTCCAATCCAGGACAGGATCTCACCCCAGGCCTTAGAAATTTGAAACTATCCATATACTGTACTCATTATCCCTTCCCACTAGCCAAGTGGATAAGAGCTGGAGTCCAAAACTGGACAACCACAGTCCTAGAGCCCTAGCCTACAAGATGAGTTCAACCCAACTTTGCCCACAGATTTTTCGATTTTTCTGTTAGTATGTTGGAGCAAAACAACAACAACAAAAAACAAACTTGTGCCACTTTTAAGATGAAGAAGTTTCATTTAACACAATAGTGGATAATCACAGACTTCAGTCTGTTTCTTCGATAGAACTGAAAACGAAAGGTATAATCAACAAAACGTCTTTAAGATGCCACAGCACTCCTTGTTGTTTATCCTACACAGTAATTACTCTCTCTCTCCTCTACCTGCACTCAGAAGAAAGGAAGCTACGTATATAGCACATAACTGTCTCTCCCCACCCAAAAAGGCAACTAGAGGCGTCTCGCACGTGTAGGCTAGTCAGCCACAGGTTCAGCAAATACAACCCACAGGGCTGACCTACACCTCGCGCTCAACGCGCATCGAACACGTGCGAAGCCGCCCAAAGAGCTTCCCGTGAAGAGCCCTCGCCTCAGCCGCCTTGACCTGAGCATGCCGCGAGGAAACCACCAGGTTAGCCTATAGCATGGCGACCAAAACACACGCACCGGCTCCCGCTTCCCTCTGCGGAAGAGCCAATATGCAGAAAGGCGGAGGCCCGTACTCACCTTCAACCCCCCATCAGGGCTGGAGGACGGCAAAAGCGGCGCCAGTGCTCAGCACCCACCGCTGAAAACCCGCATCCACTCCTCCAGCAACGTTGCTTCTACGTCCAGGCCGGCCGAGGCCTGGCGCGGCTTCCGGCGTGTCCTCCTGAAACCGTTCCCTGCTTTAGAGGGGCGGGGGGGGGAAAGGCCCGTCCTCCACGTTGCTCCGCCTCGACTCTGCGTTGAGGCGGGGTTGTGGGGAGGTGGCTGCCTAGAGCCGGGCGGGAAAGGAGCGGCAG